CCCTACTGAAGACAGGCATGGCAACTAAAAAACATGCAGCAGGCAGTGGCGCTTCAAAGAGGGGGCCATGGCCCTCCTGATACAATTGCTGCCCCCCCCCCCCCAAAGATATTACTGTCTTTAAGAGGCTGTGACGTGCTCATTTTTTAAGCTAGTGTGAAAGTTGTGGTGTCTTTTGAATCTAGACAACCTAAGGGATCCATTGGTATCAACAAATGCTGGCATAGCTTGTCAGGAAGGGGGATAAATAACGCTCCAATGTTAGGCTAAATTTTGGCGAGGGAACACCTGGCGTGGCCGTTTTCAAACTGGTCTCTTGAACTCTCACCTCAAGATATCTGAGAGAAGATGGGCTCTACAGATTCCAGTATGACTCCCATGAACTTAAGAAGGTTTGTTCTTTGTAAATATTTTGTCCTCCTTTGAATTAAAGCTGTATATTTAGCTTTTTAGGGAAAAGGACAACCAGCCTACTTGAAGAATAATGAATTGTCAATTGTCAATGAACGCATTAAAACGATAAGCGAATTCCTGAAATTGAGTTACAGCTTTTGATGTATAAGTGAGTCATTGATGACGCTGGCGCAGCTATAGAGACAGAGCGCAACGCGTCATAATCTGAAAGCCGCGCCCCCAAAGGGGAAACAAGACCAGCTTTCCCCTTGCACTTTCCCCTCCATTTCCAGCCTGTTGAGTCCAAATGCCAAAAAGTTCCTGTGTGGTGGGCTGCACGGCCAATAAAAACCCAGAGCTTAGCTTTTATCAGCTGCCGAGCAGAAACAGAACCTTGTAGAAGACAAAAGTGGATACAGGCAATAAAATGTGAGGCTTCAACAGGGAAGAAATTGTGGGATCCTGACACTCGGTATGCCTATGTGTGCAGCAAACACTTTGTCAAACCCTCCAAATGTACTTTTTAGAGTAACAGTTAACTGTATTTATGTATGTTAAGCTAAAGCATTGACAGTATGAATGCAACTTCTGTTATAATTGTGCCCAGCGCGCTGCAATTCAAGCAGTCCATTCCAGCGGTCCACTCTAGCACTTCTATCAATCTACCAGCATGTAGAGGCATGTCTCAAAACAACAACGTGTGCCAGTAGTAGGAGCAGGCTGATGGCTGAGTATGCCGAAATGCTCATCTTCTTAAAAAAGATTCTCCACATCATGTTTTTTCCAAGACGAGCAAGGTAAGGAGAAGGGACACTGAGGTAGATCGGCAATATTAAGCTTACCGTTGCCTCTCTGGTAGGCATAGCGTGCTAAAATAATCCTTTGCCATCTTATTATTAGCTAATTATTAGCTAGCTATAGCTAATGCTTTTAGCTAGCTAGCAATGCAGTCATGGAGACTTGAATGCGTGGCTGCGGAGGCAGAATGACAGTGAACAAGCGAAGAAGTGGAGGAGAAAGCAGGCCTTGTTTCCCCTTTAGGGGCGTGGCTTTCAGATTATGATGCATTGCGCTCTGTCTCTATTACAGTCTCTACTCTGTCAGCTCCGCTATATTTGTGCTAAATTTGTGCTAAATCTCTGCTCTTATGTCTATTTTGCATGCATTAGTGGTGGTTTTAGTGTTTGGCTTTGCAAGTCACTCGGGATCAACTCTCCAGTCTGTAAACTCTCCTCCTGCTGACTTCTAGCTAACTAGCTGCTAGCTAGCCAGGTATTCAAACATCAGTAAACATCAAGGAAAAGATGAAGAAGAATGAGCACCAGCTGAACTAGCATCCTGCTCGCCATTGTACAGTACAATAAAGTGGATGCCCTCCATGCTTCATCAGTTTCTGATGTGGTATCACGAACTGTAATATCCATTGATTCACACAAATGAAACTCTGGAGAATGCCATTCAACCAGGACGCTCTTTGTGTGTCGAGCTGACAGAGCAGAGGACTGACGATGGGAATGTGAGGTGTTATGTGGAGTCCTTGCCTGTGTTCGTCGTCGTGCGGCCGTCTTGTTGGGTTAGGATATGTGGACAATTAAATCATTCCACAACCAGACACCATGGAATACCAGAACCATCCGGAAACATGGATATTTACAAAGCTGCAGCCAATGATGTAAGAAGATACAAATAGGACAGATACAGTGCACAGGTTAAACGAGCTGGTGGGATCATATTTAACTGACAGTGTACCTTGTATAATTCCAGGTGACAAATAATGATTGACTGATTGATTGATTGATTGGTGCCACCCCAAGATTGTCAGAGGCCACATCTGTCCACCCCTGTGAAGATTTCTGGGGTGGCAACTGGCAGGAAGTGACACTAATCCTGAGCAAAGCTTTGTAGAGTGAGAGCATATGTATAGCATGTATGCTGCATAGGTGAGTCATGAAATAGAATGAGGACATTTCTCCTGACAAGGTCGTGGATGCTGCAGGCCTGTCAACATGACTATAAGGAGAATAAAAGATACATAAGATGCTTTACATCAGCGATGACTGAGAGAGTGATGCGCGCCCTCAGCCTAACTGATTGTACCAGAAAACGATTAGGACAGCGAGGGGACAATTTGTGGAGAACGGCTCAGTTTGACAACAAAATGATGAAAGTCAAGCGGAGGAATACTGTGTGATGTTGTGATATGGAGATGTATGGTTATGTAGCAGAGCTAGCCATCTGAGGGACGCAACATCTGCTGCACAGTACAGTATGGTTTTACATAATGCATCTATCCCTCTTGAAAAGCACCAGCTGTGGATTCCCTTCCTCTGCTCCTCCACAGACACCTGCCAATAAGCATTATCAAGCAAGCAGTCGCAGATAAAAGCCACGCTGTAATTTGACAAGCCTAATTGCAGGAGTGATGCGTAGTCTCGAAAGTCGCTGATTGCACTGGGGAAAGACAGCAATCACAGGATGGCTTCCTTTGTTGCCAAGACAGTCGTGTTTACATTGCCATTTTGTAATCGTCTCCGATAGCAAGTGGGTAAAACGCAGCAGAGATACGGCGAGATTTTGTAAATGCTCGCAGAAAGTAAAAGCCATGTATTCTCCATGTGTGCCCAGAGTATAAGAAGTCTGCTCATGCTTGAGAAAAAAAAACAGAAGAATGGTGCTGAGGTGTTTCTTGGAAAATAGCCAGGACTGTTAAGTGGAAACAGAGGGCAAATCAAAAAGCCAGGGAGAAGTCCAAGGGGAATACTGCGAGGGAAAAAGACAGTGTGTGACCGAGCCGAGAGGCCTGAACGAAAGACACTAACTATTAGTGAAATATACTTGTACATGCTGCAGACACATGCAGACCACCACCCGAGGGACTGGAAACATTTCTGCCGTTGCTGCTGCACTCTTGGTCCCAGACCTTGTTGTAAAGGCGTGTACTTAAAGGGGCTGATTGGGTCTGTGGTGAGCCACGGGGATTCCTCTGTCTGGAGCTGAGAGTCTGAATGCCAGAGCTGAATAACTGATTACAGTAAAGCCTGCGCTGACTTAACTCAGCCTTGACACCACGGCAGCTAAAGACTAGAGGAAATACCTCGCAGGAAAGATCTTAAAACCCAAAGTTGGATCATTAGAGAAACTTGCACAAACTTTGAATGAGATGTTAGGCGCCCTCGTGGAACGCTATAGGTTTCTGTTCACTGTGGCGTTCTTTGAAGTGGAAACAGCAGCACGGCTGCGACTGCAGTTTCATCATACTTTTCCTTGCAGCATGTCTTCATCTGGCTGGCAGCTGGTGAGAGTTGCCATGATTCGTGGTGACTCATTGCTTCTTCCATGGTCTATTGTTAAAAGGAGCCCACAAAGGTCTTCCTTTCAGAGAAATCACACAAATGTTTTAAAATTACAATGCATATCCAGATGAGAAAGGAGGAAGTGAAGACTGACTCAAGTGCACATTATCAGGATGATACACATTTCCCTCAAAATAGCTCCACTCTCTTTTATAGTGTAACAAATGGCAATTGCTTATGGCAACTACAATTTCCAGATGTAATTGGGTTCCTTGATAATGGATGCCACCAGAGCACCCCATCTCCATCTCTGCCACCCTCCTCTCTAAATGCTGCAGCGCGGTCCCCCAAGGTCACGCCATCCAATCTGATTGGAGACGTGATGAGGAACCGGCTGAGCTAATGTATTCCACTTGCTTATTATTTATAATGGCGAGGAGAGGTTTCAGTGGAAAATTAACCAGCGTGCCGCAGACACCTTCATTAGCAAATGAGGTGACATCTCATGCAAAATACACAACAGAGGGGATCATTTCAAAACTCATAACACATAAACCTGGAGTTTACTCACACTGGGCTATTACACTGACAGTGAAACAAAGAGTGATTAATGTTTACAGCAAATTAAAAGGATTTCTGTCAGACAAAAGTGTTGTTTTACTTAATGAGGCTGCTTCCAGGACGCCAGACAAACACACGTACGAATGTGCACAGCAGAGATGTCTCTGCTCTGCAAATCTGCTGTATGTTCAACAGTTGCTCCGGTCCACAGCGGAACATAGTGCATGGTATAGAGTCTTTTTGAAGTCAGAAAGCTGAGCAGTGCATGAGTTAGCCAGCAGCCCCCACCACTGAAGCCAAGAAATCAAAACCAGCCCTCGGAAAGAAGAAGTTGCTTTTTCTCAACATGATATTACAGAATGGGCCGGTGGCTGATTGAAAACAGAACATCAAGACAAATTTGCACAAACATGCTCATACTGAGACCTGAAGGCTGGTTTATGAATCTGGGGTTTATTATAAGCACTAATAACTATTGTCCTAAATCTACAGGTTTGCTTTAAACACCAAAACCCATTTCTGAGACAACAAAAAGCTGCTGCTTTCCATTAGACATGTGAATATTAAAATGTGTGCAGATTTTTGCAGAAGAAAGTTACAGTGCAACACCTGCTCAGCAGCACTTTAAGACTTTAAGCCTTCATGTGCGCTGCTCTGTTAAGGGCACTGAGATTAAAAGCTATAATTAGAAGATGAGGTGGTGTCAGTCTAACGTTATAGGGTTAAATGCATGCGTTGTGTCTCCATACTTACTTAAAGTGAAGCCCGGGCTGCGAGTGGAGTCCCGTTATTTCCGTGCGGTGTGGCGGCAGCTCCGCGGAGAAACGAAAAGCGAGCAAATCAGCCCAGTCACAGCTTGAAGGGTTCCAATTTAAGGGGAAAACAAGCTCCCAAACTGGCAACCTCGCACCGTTACCTTTTTGAATAAGAAAACACCAGGAGGAGGCTCTTTTTTTTCTTTTACTCTCCTCCTGGAACATGCACATCCGTGCGTTCTTTCCTGCGAAGGCGGAGGATGGGAACAGTTTCTCGTTGTACACCGTTAGTCGCTCACAGGCAATGAGAGGCATGCATTTTAATTCCTGAGCGCTGACCATGAGGGGCACAACACTGCTACGCCCCTCAGCATCCTCACTCACACACTCTCACATCAGGATTTTTTGGCATGCGTGGCCAGGTCCTGCTGTTAGCCTCCAGCTTATTGCTGCAGGAATGAACAATAAGCTCTCATACACCAATAAAGAATTCATCTCCGTTTATGGGCCACGTTCAGATCTCACACCTGCTTCCTTTACTGTAATTGCAAAGGTCTTACATTATTAAAAACAAATAAGTGACTATTACTGATTGACATGTCAGATATTCTACATGCCTCTTAGGGACTGTTCTTTACTCGTCAGAGGAGAGGGGTGGCTGAGGTGTGGCTTCGGTTATCTTTTCTTTATTTTGGCCCTCCTGGTAGATACACATATTTCAACTTGAGCTTTCCTGAGTGAGTGGCGGACAGTGCATGACCCTCCCTCCACCATAAATTAGTTATTAGATTTTTAAAACTTCCCCTTTGATGTTTGAAAGTTAAAAGTTGAAATCCTGGAGCTGAAAAAAGCCTCATCATGCATGCTGGTTAATTCATGCAAACGGTCTATTTTGGGCCAAATTTTAAATGAGACACGTAAAATAAAGTGATTTTGATGACTTTTCACTCTTGTAAGTGTTCATTGCACATGATGTGTCTAAGGAGCTTCAGAAATGTAAAAAATCCAACGATAATTTCTGTTTTTACAGTTTGTGACGATAAATTCTTTAATTTTGGCAATTTCTAAATGACACATGCCTTCCAAACTCGCTTGTGGGTAAAATGAGTGGTCAATTAAACACATAATTCAACCATTTAAATTTGTATTCCCTCCCCTAAGCCAAAATGAAAACTATAAGTCCCTCACCAGTGCTAAAAAAATTATTTGACTTGCCTCCCTCTTTTTGCACCACCCCCTCCTCCCTAACAAGTAATGAACCGTCCCTGAAATTATCCCTGATGCCAAAACTTTATAGTAAGTTAAGTTTGATCCATTATCAGGGCTGGACATAGCATCCAATGGTGCCCCTATGCCCCAGACAAAAAGGTCGTCCTTTCATGTCATTGTGAAACATGATAGTTGTTACTGTGCAACAGTGTCTGGCGTCATCAGACGGAAATGCAGCTGCACAACAGCTTAAGTTAAGAGCGCAAAAAGCTGGAGTTGGGAGGGTGGGAAGGGTTGGTGGATGGGTCCAACAACCATCAACTTTCACCCGGGGTGCCGGTGTTCACTTCCTGTATGAATGTAAAGGCAAACCTGGATCTTTTTTTCGAAACCGAAGCACCTGCTTTTGTTGGCTAGACGTAACCATGTGCATTTGTTGTTGTGCTGTACCGATGGAGTGTAATTTTGAAAGAAACTGTGTTCAAACTGTACATTTCCTGTGAAACAGAAGTGTATTTTGAAAGAAGACAATGCATGTCCCAGAAGGTCAACAACCAACACACCCAGGGTACCTTGGACGTTTCTTTTAACTTAATGCTCTCCAAATACACCTTAATCTACCATAAATGCTCGAGCATGTTCTGACTGTGATGACTGTGATAAACTAAATAGACTAGAGGTGGTGCCCCTACTACAAACAGACTGTTAGCACTAGATAAGAGGATCACTTTTCCTTTATGTTCAATTTTTTCTTTTGTAATGAAAGAAAAGTGTGTGTGTGTCTGTGCAGGGCGTGGGGGGTAATTCTGGGTCCCTCCCTTTGGGCAGCTCTCTGTGTTGACTATAAGAATATCCGCCACTTTCCATAAAATGTCTAAAAATATATGTGTACCCTTCCCCTCAACATTTGCTTACAGGATCACTGCAGCTTGTGGTCTTACGTGCTGCACACTAATAGGATGATAGAGGTGACCGGTGGCTTAACTGCAGAGAGTCTAAACATGGTGAACTCACCCAAGCTAAAGTTCACTCAGCCATAATAGCCCGAGGCTTGTAGAAACCTGTTGGTCAGATTTATGCCCTCTCTCCTAGGTGACTGCTTACCTTTTCCCCCCTGAGGCCAATAACAACAGCATTTTGTGCTTCGTATAGAATGTGACTGCTTTATGGAAAGTGGCATTTACACTGAATCCTCAGCCAGGGTTTGATTCAAAACATCTTTAACTAATCGTTTCTGTCAGCCTTTATCCGTCTAAAAAGTAGACTAAATGGTATTCCTTGGCCTGTGGGTGCCGTAAAGGGTTTGAAACTGTTTTGTTGCCAGCACAGTGAGTTCTGAGCGTAAAAAAAATACATTATTCCAGTGTCCTTACGAAGCTTGAGTCTGTGTGATTGAAGTTGACTAGGCAATTTTCTAAAAAACATGAGATACAGTTCCATCAAAAAAGCAAACAAACCTGCAGCTAAAGATATTTTTTGACTGCACGCAGGAACAAAATAGATTAACCCCTGTTAGTAAATCAATTACCATAAAAAGCCCACTGTAGGCTACTCGCATGGAAATAGAAGTACTTTAAGTTGAAAGGACAGTTTGCTTAACCAAGGGCAAGACTGTATCTTGCATCAGTGTTACTTTACATTGCAGCGGGGTGCACGTACACACACACTTTTGCAGCAACCCCTCGGGCCCTGGACCCCAGAGGCCCCTGAGAGCCCCTGTTTGCATGCAGATAAGTTCATCGTTTGATAGAACATTTCCTCTCTGGTCGAGATTTGCATGCTGTCTTAGGTTCAACAGATGGGTGGGCACTTGGCTGAGTGGGGACTTGACAGGCCAGCTGAACATACAGGGTGGAATGATGTCTGCTGGCAGTGTGTGTGTGTGTGTGTGTGTGTGTGTGTGTGTAGGGGGCTGGTGGGAGTGGAGTGTGTGAGGAGGTACAGACATCATGGTTAAACTGGGAGTAAGGCAATGGAAATAGAGCTCGATTTAGAGTGATGCACCGTAAAATCGAGTTCTTTCTTGCTTTTGGCAACATCTGTGCTGGTGATGGTGGTGGATATGGTGGCATTCGTTGCTATGGTGTTTTGCACCAAATGTAGCTTCATATTATTGAGTTTAGAATATTTAATGCTCTCATTCTGGTTTCACGTAGACTTTTTCCTCATTTTCCTCTCATATTTACAACAAAAATATAATAAAAATATGAAACAGAACTTGTGCTATCTGGAGATGTCAGGACATCACAGATCTGATTTGGCTGTAGTTTAAAGCTTCATTGTATGACCTCAATTTGCATAGTAGCCCCTTCCTTTTACTATGCCTCTCATGGCACTCATGCAGTTTACAGTGATGATGACTGGGGCATAAAGCACTTGAAAGTTTTAGCATACAATTGGTTGTTTATTTCAGACTATTGTGGGAACAGAAGGCTTCTCATTTCTAATTTGGGACAGTTTTGCTGGCTGAAATTATAACTGGCAGATCTGCTGTAACTAGATAGCTGAATAAGCTAACGCTCGATCCAGTAATTTGATGAAAACACTGTCTGCGGCTGAGTTTTTGCTGTTTCTAGCTGACTTGTTTTAAAATGAGAATTCTTTGAAAGGAATTTTGATTTTGTTCTTGATGGCTGCATATGAAAATGATGCTTAAAGTCTGCGCCTAAATCTCCCAGGTAATGGTTAGCATCAACCTCAGTTGATGATCCCAGGAAAGGGGCACTGTTCTTGTATTGCAGTGTAGAGGTAGTTAGGCTACATTTTTCCTTCCCTGTACAACTAAGGGCGCTTTCACACCTGTGAATTCAATACCCTACACTGTGAGGTTCGTTTGGGCAGGTGTGAACACAGCAATCACACTCAGGTGCGCAGCAAAACAACCGGACTGAGACCTTCTTGAAGAGGTGGTCTCAGTCCGGTTCCAAATGAACTCTGGTGCGGTTGGTTTGTGGTGAGAAGGTGTTCCGACCTGGATGTGAAGCAACTGCAGTCACATGACACATTGTTTGGGTTAAACATGAGCATGTTACAGTCCTGGAGGATTATTAATGTGCACCTCCTCCTGTACTGCCTTAATATGCACATTCAGCACATCCAATGCATCAAAACATTGTTTTCTAGTTGGAGCCGTGCCTCGTTTTCAAACTGTATGGTTTGACTAAAATGAACAATGACAGCAATATAGTCTACGATGAGCAGCGCTAAAATCAACCTGTGTAGTTGTCCCTCCATTGTGACATTAGAAAGTGTCACATTTATCTTGCAAGTGTACTCTTCTTCAACGCTTTGCTTTACTTCCTGGATTTTTCCCACATGGAAATTCTGACCAATCAAGAGCAGCTTTCTCACACAAGGCATTTGATCTGGTCCTCTTGTAAATGCTGCCGTGAGAACACGAACCAACTCTAGACAATTATACAACTCTGGAACAACATGAGTCCCTGATTCAGACCAAAGGAGACGACTCTAGGTCTGAGAGCAGCCTAAGATTAAATTCTTCACTCTAACATTACACTAACCCTGTTTAAGCGCTTAGGTTACATTACCTACTTGTTGTATGTTTTCACTTTTAGCGCTACTAAAAATATTTTTTTTAACTGTCCTAAATCCAAGAGTACAGCTGTGTATTTTCTATTAAATTTGAATGCCAGACCTGAAGACAGCACCTATCTTATTCAGTCCATTGAGAATAGCTTGCCTGGCACATACCAACCATCAGGAACAGCGCCGACTTTGAAATCAGTTTGACATCGTAGCTTAACCGTGTTACTACAAATCTGGTTCCATCATGTGATGCCACTGGGCTCAAAAAGACTTTTTGCCATAGACTTAGGCTACACTGGGAGAGAGACGTTTGTAAATCCATGGATAAGAGTTTCTGAGCATCACAACCCCCACACTACGACTCATTACACTACCCAGAATTGATTCATCTGTCCGGTAACATTTCTAAAGTCTAGAAGAGCTGCATTATTAAATGATTTTATCCCCCAGGGCTAAACTGTATGTAGCCAGTTCAGCTGGAAGTTAGCCACTTGTTCTCTAGTGCTCTATAGGCCCAGTGGTG